TAGCTTTTTAATCAAATAGCAACAGTATCAAGCCATAAAATATACCTCTTTAAATCTCTGTGATTATATCTTTTAATCTTGTTACAATGTAGTAGGTATATAGGGCTTTCAAATGAATCTTTTGTTTTAAATAACTCTCCACTCTCTGCTCCCCCATATTTCCTGTCCCTTCATCTCCCTCACTTAAATCTCTCCATATCTAGTGTCTACCTACTGTGATTTATTTGTACCACTGTTCTTTTATCCTTATAAGACATAGCATAAGAAGAGATAGTGATTGTTTAATAGCTTACAAGTCCAATGACCTAATAACACAACAAAAGCCTCATCTCAAAGGTTCTATAACTTCCTCAAAATCTCTGAACCATTATTTCAGTTCTTATTTGTTTAAGGGACATTTAACACCCAAATGCAATATGCCTTTGTATCTTCCGTAGTTATTTTATAATTTCAAACAAAATTCATACTGTTACAGTTTTCTTTTCTCTAATAGTCAGTGAAATTGGAAAAAAAATTAAAACTGCCAATTCCCACAGATGATAATCCAAACAGATTTCTTTTGACCTCGCTTCTGTCATGTTTCTTCCTGAGGAGGAATTGTGTATGGAGGGACCAATTACAGAGAAAAAAGTTGAATGACTCTTAAGTCTTCTGTGTTGATTATTTCTAAAGTTTCTTAGTTAAGCCAGTGAGACATTCTCTACAGACATGGCTCATTGTGTCATGAGCATAACAGAGAGAAATTAGGAGAAAACAAAGGAGCTCTGTTGCTTGTGTTTAACGAAAGACTGTATCTCTACAAATAGTTGACATTGGATCATGTTTGAATCGTTTATACAGGATCCTTTCTTCTTGAAAGCATTTGATTCAAATAAAACATATATTAAGAAATCCTTATTTCATTGCAGTGTTGATCTCATTCTTAATGCTAAATCCTAATATGCATTGTGATGGGGCAATTATTCAATGGAAATTTTGTGTAAATACTTTTCCGAATTCTAATTCATTTTAAAACTAAAATTTTAAAAAGAATAAATGTGATGTTTTCTTAGTAAATTCTATTATTCAATTATTTCTCAATTTAGATTTACTCTGATTTCAAATATTTTAATAATTTTAAGAAAACTTTAAGTAAGGAACAGAGAAATGAGTCAGCAGTTAATAGCATCTGGGTTTGCTGCCTATCATGATGTTCAGTGTCTCAAAACCAGTAGTAATTGAAACTCTGGGGTATTAGACACACTCTTTTAGCCTCCTTGAGTACAGTATATTAACATGATACACATACACTTATGCAGGACAATGCTCACAACATTAAAATTCAAGTAAGTATTTAAAGCTTATTGTATTATAACATGTCAATGAGGTTAAATAAAAGTTATTGAAAGGGGATGGAAGTATGCCTCAGCAGTTAAGAGTACTGGATGAATATCCTTTTAGAGGGCTGGGTTTAGATACCCAGCACCCATATGGTAGATTACAATTTCCAGCCTTCAACTTCCGAGACTCTTTAACTGCAATTCTTTAGGATCTTACACTTTCTTATTGCCTCAAGGTGCACTGAACACCCAAAAACATAAAATAAAATGGGGAAAAACAAAATATTTTATTAAAACTTTCATTTTATTTTCAATATGGAAAGATTTAGCATTGTCTCTTTCAAAAATGAAAAAATAAATGTTACATAAGCAAATGTACATAGATGTTACTTATTGGAAAACACAAATATTTTAATTATGAAATAAATAAATCAATGAGATCCAGATAATCTGAAGATCCTTAATTCTTTGCTTCCTAAAGATTTTAATAAAGTGGATTGATTTTGCACGTACCAAAAACCTTATTTACAAAATAAGAAATTATATTTCCCCTAGAACAGGAATGAGAAACACAACAACTCTGGCTGTTAAATATTGTATTTGCTGAAAGATGATTTGTCCCAGCTTATTCTTTACCATAGCAGTTGCCCAAGTCAGACAACTGCTGTTGGGTTTTACAATTCTGGTAAGACACTCAAAGAATCAAGTAAGAGGAAGATTGAATTCTGTTAATTTATTAGAAATTGAAATTAGAAAAAGTATTTTAGGGGCTTATGGAAGATTGAGGTTATTCAAACAGGGTCAGCATACTAATGCCAGGAGTCTTCTGTAACAAAAAGATTTGATCTATAATAATGCATTTGATACCACCTGGGAAATGAAATTCACAGAAAAAATTGCATCTGAAACTTCCAAATGCAATTGGCTTCATTGACTGGTCCTCAAATGAACTTCCGATCTTTTGCTTGCTGGATAATTTGTTTTTATTAGCTTTGATGCTCTAAAGTTTGGTATTTTAAAGTATATGAGACTGTTTTTAAGGCTCAATTAAAAATAAGTTTCCTAATAACCATGATGACGTCCTTGGGAATTCATATGAGAAGTTTAGCCAATTGTGCATTAAAAACTACATGGTTTCTTCGAGTTTTGTTTTCCAAATTATTAAGGTTTGAAAGAAAATAATTGACCAGTAGAGACCAAGTCAAGCCAACAAGACAGAAATAACTACAAAACCTTGATGTATAAAATCCATGTAAGCTAATTATGAAACTAAATAATAATATTTTAATAGAATAAATTTGTTAGTACACTTAAAAATATATAAAACTGTTTTCCAGTGCACTTATGATAATTTTGTATGACAAAATTTACAAATAAAATGGATTTTTTTGGATTTTTAATCATATTAAAAGATCAGTTCTTGGCCTCCAAAGCTAGAAACACAGATAACTTGACAAAATATTTAACATTTGTCACTTCTACCACATTTGATAATATTTTAAATATTTTCCTTTTTAGCATAAACAGTGCTGTTTTACACATTTATTTTAAGTTTTACTTTGCACAAGCAAAGGTTGTGAAAAAGGTTTTTATTACATCTGTGTATCTTATGTCTGTTATGTCTTATTTAAAATAACACAATTCTTGAAAATTATTAATGCATTCTCTAAATTACTTACAATTCATGATACAATGTAAAACCTACAGATGCAACTATGGTTACTTTGTTAATTGTTCTAATATTTATGAAAATGTGCAAGTACAAAATATATAAACAGTTGTTTTAAGTGAACATGAATGTTACAAAAAACACAAACAAACTCCAAAATATTTTTAGGTTGGAAGTTCTCTCAACATAGTAATATTGAAGCTAACCCTTTATTTATAAATGTTATGCTAAAGTTCATTTTTATAAGAATCCTTGTCAAATTTTAATAGAATTTTATTTAGTATAGGAACTTTACAACGTAACATTTATTTTTATTTTTAGTAGTTTTTAGTGATAAGATTGTCATTTATGAACTCTTTGTATTTTATTATATAAGTACTGTTCATTTCTATGTTTTATAAATTTACTTATAAATACATTATTTTTCTAGCTATGTTGTACTTACTTCAGTGAGTAAATATTTTATCACATAACTAAATCATTTTTCTAAGACATATAAGAGTTTCTCTCACTCTCCTTTAGTCCAAAACTTGAAAGCAACTTGCCTGCCTTCTTACAAGTAACAAGTGGCCCACATATTTGGTGACTTTGGCTCTATATTTCTAAAAGCTGATACCTTGACCTCAATGAGTGCAATACAAAAAATAATTTCAGTGCAATTTTTTATTCTATTCATGAAGAATATATATAAATTATAATAGTACAATACACATCCTACAAAATATACACTGTGAAAAATTTTGTTGATATAGAGGACATTCAGATTTGCACTTTATAAAATAAAATAATCAATTTCCAATAATCTTGTTTCAGTAGCTTTTGTTGTTTGACCATTCAAAAAGTTTATTGATTTAGGTAAAGCCAGAAAATAACCATTTTATTTTGTAAGTAATATTATGGGGTTTCTCACCACTTCAATGGAAGTTCCATCCATGGGGATGGTACAAATATTTAGATGTAGAAAGTTCCTTGTACAATGAAAGAACACGAAGACATACTCTAGCTCTTGATGTGAAAAACACGGCTTAACTTGTCTCCTTAAATTGTTAAATAACAACAGAGATGTTAAATATATTCATTTACCCCACATTTCTTCCTGCTGAAATGTGTTCATTAATTCATCTGCATATAATTAGAAGGCCCTTATAAACCCAAAGTCTCATGTTCAGGTGAACGAAAAAATGTTTGAAATACAAATATTGCACAAAATTCTTTGAAAGGACAAACAGTTTTCAAATGATCCACCTTTTTAATTTTATTATTATTTTTTAGTAGCTCCTCTTTTCCATAGACCTAATAAGCAGTCCGCTGAGTCAGGTAAATCCACGAGCTACTATATGAAGCATTTCCAGCAATGTGTAGTCACTTGGTAAACCACATCAGGATAGACCTCAAAGAAAGAGTAGGCCTCTCAGGGATCTCCACTGAACATGGAATGAAAGAGAAACAAAGAAAGACTAAGGAAAAACCCTCATATCAAGGCTGGTTTAGGCAACAAAATAAGAGGAATGGGATTCCAAAAGTAGACCAAATAGACAGGAATAGACTTCACTGTATAGGACTATAAGAAGACCAAGATCAACAGTCATAATGCACATGCAGAGGACTAGCACACACCCAGACAGGCTCTTTGGTATTGCTTCAGTCTCAGGGAGCCACTCTGAACATTGTTTTACTGATTCTGTGGGCCCTGGTCTCCTGTCTCCTCCACCCCTTTAACTACTAAAATTGTTTCTCCCCCTCTTCACAGTATTTTCAGAGCTCTGTCTAATGTTTGACTGTGGGTCTCTGCCTGTGCTCCTATCTGTTGCCAGATGAAGGCACCACAATCTATTAGTTTAAAATAATTTCCTTAGGAATTATTTCATTGATTAGTTTTGGCCAGTAACTTTTGGTTCTATCCTAGGTTTCTGTGATACCCAGCCTCCGTTCCTGGTCATCAAGGCTGTGTTTCACATGGGCTCCTTCTCATGGTTTGAGCCTCTGGTTAGAACAGTCATTGGTTGGTCACTCATGCTAGTTCGGTACTACATTGTCCCACCATGCTACAATCCACTACAATTCCAGAGAGATTAAGCAACAGGGAGGACACTAAGGCAGATGCATGGAATCTCCCTGGGAAGTGGGAATAGAATAGATTTTACAGGAGTACCGAGGCTGGTAGGGATGGGAAAAAAGAGGGATCAGGTGTCTGTGGCATGGAGGAGCAGGAAGGAGGAAGAGACAATGGGGAGAGGTGATTGGATTTGGAAGACATTTGCAGGGTTCTTTGTAAACCTAGTTCAGTGGAAACTCCCTACAATCTATGAGGGAGGCCCCACTGAGGACTTCTTGTAATGGGGCATAGGGAGCATGAGCCAACCTTCTGCATCCAGGAATGCTTCCAAGTGTTGGGATTGGGACACAAATCCAGCCCCCCCCCAAATTTTAACCTACAGTTGTTCTTAATGTAAATTTTATTCAAGATTTACAATGCTTTTTTTTTTTCAGTTGTAGGATTTAACATTTACTGAGGGGAACAACTGGGTGCTGTCAGAAAGGAACACACTGGAGGACACTGATGTGTTATCTTATACTGGAAGGTTAAATTGTTTTTCTTCATTGCTCACTGAATTTGCCTGTGTCATCTCTGTAACTACATTTGAAGGTCTTATAATATGTTACTGATTAGTAAAGTTGGAGACCTGCCCTAATCTTTACTTTCATAATTTAACAGTTCCTATAAAATATTTTGTCACCAATAAAATTAGCCACTGAGACTTTTATTAAATTATTGACCTCATGCACCCAATTAAACTGTAAATAAAGTTGAAAGACATCAAGTAACCGATGACTACATTCTAGAGGCTATAGTCAGTTACCCAACTGTTAGCAAAGGCAAAGCAGGTTTTTTTCATGAATACAATTACTTAAGTATTCAGCTTGCCTAAAATTTCTTACTTCAAAATTAAAATGCAGTGTAAATTAAAAATATACTGCTTTCATAGGAGTTGTGCTTTCAGAGTTGATATAAACTTCTAGGTACAAATATGTGCAATCTGCTGGGGCTTGCAACTTACAGATAACATAGCACAAGGTTAACTGAAGATCTACAAACTGTGAAGCATTTGTTATCTTGAAGAGTAGTACTTTTGTGAAATTTTAGGACAGTTGTCATTAAAATCACGTATGGAATATTGCCTTATTGTCTGTGTATTAAAGCAGTCAGATGTCTAATCTGAGATGGTAAAAGTAAAAAAAAAATGTTTTCTGTAAAAAACATGTAAGGAAATTATACTAGTTATTTTTTGTAGTTAAAGGATCCTAATTTTTCTCAAATGGTGATGTAGAACTCATCTAATTGTTACAGACAACCTAGATGTAATTAAATACATGACCATGCATGTATTTAAACTACACACACACACACACAAACACACACACACACACAGCTTACAATGAAATCAAATAATTATTTTTTGTTCTCATAAACTTAAAGGAGATGGATTTGTGGACTTTGAAAAGTTAACTTTGCACTCTTATAAGTGACTGACTGTTTTCATGCTTATCAGCAATAAATTGGTTTCAGTAATCTCTTGATTACTGCCAAATCTCTATATCTAGTTACTAAAACAGAGTGAGCAATCAATATCTTATTCCAATATAGCAGACAGTGGCATTAAATTTTATCTAGTATAAAATGGGAAGCAGTAAATATATTTGAGTGGAGGTAAAATGTGAGCTATTTTATTCTAATGTAGCATTTCTCCTTTTAGTTGTCTTCTATTTTGCTATATTGGCTTCAACAGTTTATAGAACAAGTCAGAATGCATATATACCTATACTCAAAATCATACTTATGTCCACAAAAATGCATTTGTCAGCAATAACTCAATGCTTCCAATAACAACTTTATTCTGTACAAAGAGGAAGAAGAAACAAAAGCATCAGGATCCTGCCCCAGTTTTGAGGTTTCAAATTGATATCTTAAGGTTTAATTGAAAGACTGTTTTCTTTTGAAAAGACTAGAACATTCTTTTGAAAGTGAGGCAAGAATTGCATAATTAAATTACAAAACCAAAATACATAGATTAATCATTTATAGCAAAAGTTTTTTTGCAAATATTCTTGTTTTTAATTCCTTAGTTAAAATTTTAAAATTTGAATTCTGTGATTTGACCAAAGTCAGAAACCCTTCCTAACTTGGGAGACTGAATTTCATGCTTGCTGGTTTCTGAAGAAAAATAATAAAAAGCAGCAAAAGCCAAAGTGGAACTGATGAGATTTTTGTCAGTCATATGACTGTTTTCATAATCTCCTCATTAGCATTTCCCTTCTATGCTTCCTTTAAAAACAGTCTCTTCCTTTGCCAAAAATATGCAGTACAGTCTATCTGTGGGATTTCTGGCAATTGGCATTTTATGATCAACATGCAAATACAGAGTGAAAACTTTAGCATGTTGCCAACATTCAGTGTTTGTCTCATACAAGGGAACCTTGCTTTTGCTCCAGAAACATTGGAAAAAATTCTAAGAAAATATGAAAGAAATTTTAGTTAACATAAGTGACACTTTAAAAAAATATACATTCTACAGATTGTTTACCCTATCTTTCTGAACAACAAACAACAACAACAAAACTTTATCATGAGCAAATTGGTTGTTTATATAGAGACAATTTATAAGCATTTCCTTGTACACAAAACTTTAAAGGCTACTTATGTAAAATTTTAAAATGCAAGACAATATACACAAAAATCTGCTTGTGCTCTTATGTAATTATGTTTGTACAAATAAGTGCTACTGATGTACTTAGCAAGCTACATTCTTCCCTCCTTTCTTCCTCTCCTCTTATTTCTTCCTTTCCTCGGTCTCACCCTCATGCACTCCTCCATTCTTGCTCTCTCCCTTTCTCTTCTAGATACTTTTTTTGCAAAAAAAGGTGTATTATCATTACTTAAAATGAAGATAAATTTCTTGTTTCCAAAAATAACTTTTCATCACTTCTTTCTCTCAGATACCACACCACTGACAGTGACAAGATAAAATAAAATATCAATATGGAAATGATTTTTTTAATGTTGCTCAAGTGGTACTAAATTTTTTTATGAGCTGTTAAATAAAATATAAAGAATTAATTTTGGACCAGTAATGGACAATGCGCTGAGCCTTGCTCAGATGAAATCACTTTAGCTACATTACTAACTTCAACTAGACTAAAACTAGAATTGTCATGTAGTGCATGCCTTTACTCCATAACCTCTTCCCTTCATTAGCCCATTCTGTTTTTGGCATTGAAAGGGACATGTTTCTGAAATAGATAACTGTAGAAGACAATAGCATTGCTGTATCTCCTTTTCAGGAAAGTGATAATCTACCAGAACTGTGGATCTTAATCGCAAGAATGCCCTGTACTTCAGCTTTGTTAAGGCGAAGAGATTTTGCATTTACATATTGCTTCCATGGTACAACTCCCTTTGATGCTTTATACTAATAGTGAAAATCTCAATTACCTTCTAACCTAGTGCATATGTTATTTGAGAGGGACTGAAGCAAAATATGCAGTTGAACTCAGAATATATTAAAATTATACAGAAGTAATACCCTTTGTGAATCTGTGCTTTCTTAATAAGATAACTGATATTCTTATAAGCATTATAATGTCAGTTTCCTCAAAACTTCAAATTACCATTTGATAAGACCCTTAGTGCACATGAACAAGCACTGAGCAAAATAATAAGATGGAACCTAACAATACAAAAAAAAAAAAAAAAAACCCAGAAGTGTTATTGATGTGGCACACACTTACCTCTATAGCAAAAATTCCTGGAGCAACCAAATCCAGCACAAAAATTCTCAGATTGCATTCTTGAGAATGTTGTATAGTATGTAAAGTATGAGCTGAATTAAAACATAGATTTCTTCCTTTTCAATTAGAAGAGAACACGGAATATGTGAAAAGAAAATAATGTCCATAAAAATTTGAAGAAACAAAAATTATAGACATATCTGTTAAATTCCCTAATTTAGTTATTTATGACTTTGTTTCCCTGGATATATTTCAAGGCACCAAAAGTCAGAGGAAATTCTAGGAGTGGAGGTATTCTGTTCTCCTAAACTAACTCATCCTGCTTTGCAACATCACTTTACATAGTATTCAGTTTTAATTAGTTCTGTATTCCACATCATAAAATTCAAATAAAAAAGTTGGAAAAAATAAATAAAATGTTAACAATTAAAAAAAATAAAATTCAAGACAGTCTTTCTCTTAACCCTGTGATCTTGCCTGCCATATTTTTGGTTGCATAGCCACAAAAATAGAATTCTGTCCTTTTTCTAAGACTCTTGTTAGGTGAGACATTAATATAGCTGTGAAATTCCATACTGCTGAATGAGTTCACTGAATGCAAGCCAAAGA